GAAAAGAGGGGGATGGAAATAGGGGAAAATAAAAAGGGGGAAAATGAAAAAGGGGGAAAAATGAAAAGGGGAAAATGGAAAAATGAAAAGATGGAAAAGGGGGAATGGGAAGAGGGGAAAAAAGAAAAGTGGGGAAAATGGAAAGGGGGGAAATGAAAAGGGGAGAAAATGGAGAGAGGGAAAAATTGAAAGGGGAAAATGGAAAGGGGGAAAATGGAAAGTGGAGGGATGAAAAGGGGGGAATTAAAAGGGGGAGAAAATGAAAAGGGAGAGAAAATTAAAAGGTGGGAAAATGAAAATATGGAAAATGAAAAGAGGGGAGAAATGAAAAGAGGGAAAAATGAAAAGGGGGAGAAATAAAGAGAGGAAAAATAAAAAAGACCAAAAAACCTCTTGGGAAATCGGGATATTTTTTTCCCCCACATCACACGGAGGCACAAAGGGGGAAAATCTCCAAATTCCATGAAAAGCATCGAAGCCGCGGCAGAAATTCCCGGAGTTCGCAGGAGCCGGGAGGGAGCAGCGCTTTAACCCCCGTGGGAGGAACCGCCGCCCGCCCAGGGCGCGCCCCGGAATTGGAATTTTTTTTTCCCTTTTTCCCAGATTTTCACCATTTCCTGGGAATCCCTGGCGCAACATGGCGCCCGCAAAACTCCGGGAATGGGAGAGGGAGAGAGAAACGTTCTGCGCGATGGTCCCGAGCCAGCCCCGGCCGCTCTGCGCCCCGAAATTCATTTAAATTCCAAATATTTCACAGGCCGGGGCGGCAAACGGCTCCTTGCGGCCTCTGGGTTATCGTTATTTATGATTAGAATTGGTTTGTCATGATTTATAATTGTAATTTTTAATTACGAAGGCGGAAATCGGTTTATGAGAGGTTTTCCCCACCTTTTTTTAATCCCTCGGGGGTTTATCCTGGCTGGGCACACGGGCGGATGAAACGAGGGAAATGTCAAATAGCTGGAATGCAGAAGTGCGGGATGGAAAAACGCGGTGGAGGAATTAAATATAAAGTGTAAAATATGAAATATAAAGATGAAATAGGAAATGTAAAATATAACATATAAATCTACTATATAGGCTATAGACTATAGGCTATATAAGAT